TTTTTTTTTTTGGTGGCTCTTAAAGGCAGTTGCTTCCCCAGGAGGGAAAGAGCACCAGACCTGGAGGTACTAAAATACTAGACCAGTACTTGGAGAGACTGGAATAAGCTCTGACACCCTCCCGTGGTACCAAAAATGCTGATGGGTACTAACCACACGGATAGGTTGGTGTAATCCATCTGAATATGGTAGTTCCCATTGTTCTCAGTCCCCCTCAGCATGAACCATCTTTCAAGTCATGGTGAGCTAATGTATTGCACACATTTCGACTTCCTCTTCACTCCCACAGCTAAGCTGCACTTTTTTTCCCCATTTCCAATGATTCCTGTTTCTTCATGTGTAGTGTGTACTATTGGGAGGTGGGAGGGAAGGAGTGGTCTATTTACTTTGGCAGGTTAAAGAAAGCCAAGAGAGGCCAAGACCAGCCTGGTGAAAAAGCAGGTGTGGAGCACTGGTAGAATGAAGGGATGCTAGAGATGGCAGCAGCTTTCTATCAGGATCTCTATGCCATGTGACTGGAGGACCCGGGGACTATGTAGGACTGTCTGCAGAGACTCATCTGGGTCCTCAGAGAGTACAAAGGGCTGATGCTGGTAAAGGAGTGGACCTTGGAGAAGGTTGACAGAACCCTGTGCAGTTTCAAGAATAGTAAGACTCTTGGGGTAGACAGGCTGCCCAAGGAGTTTTTTGTTACCTTCTGGGATCAGGTGGTTCCCAACCTGCTGAAGGTCTTCAAATACATAGGAGGGCAGGGATGGACTAAGGCCTCATGACTCTCTTGTACAAGAAGGGTCCGAGATAAGAGTTGAAGAACTGGAGGCCTATAACCCTCCTGACCTTCAACTATAAACTGCTGGCCAAGATGTTAACTGAGCACCTTAAATCTGTTATAGGGACACGAAGACCAGACATGCACAGTACCAGGAAGATCAATCCATGGTGCCCTGCTGCAGCTATAGGATGTACTGCAGTACCATGAAGACAGGGCCCAGAGAACTGCTGTACTGCACCTCAACCTGGAGAAAGCCTACAACCAAGTATCCTACCGACTCCTGTTCGAGACACTGAAGAAGATGGGGATCCCAATGACCTTCATTGTCTGTATAAAAAGACAGTATATGTGGATGAGAGCAGCCAGGTGCTGGTAAACAGGCTCATGACTGTACCAATAGTGGTGGAGTTGGGTGTCTGGCAGGGGTGTCCATTCTCCCCAATCCGGTTCATCTGCATAATGAAACCTCTAGCTGAGAGGCTCAAACAGACCCCAGAATTAATGCAGGCCCCAGGCACAACCAAAAGGAAGCAAGGGCCCTAGCCTAAATGGATGACCTCAATGTCCTCTGCATGGCCAAGTGGTCATACTGAAACACACACAGGTATACAGAGCAGTAGCAGAGGCCAAGTTCAATGTGACCAAGAGCACCTGCCTGGTACTGGGTGATCTGGGGGACCTGTCATCCCTGGGGGTCTACTACTGACCAGATGGAGGGCATGGGAAAAGACTGAAGCCAAAGTTAACTGCCAGAGTCTCAGAAACAGACTCTGGCATATGCACCACCTCTCCATGGGGGTTATCTTACAATCAGGGTCATCTTATATTTGAATAAATGCAGTATTTTTTATTTTGGCTAGAAAAAAAAGTCATGTTATGCTATTTATTCACTCCCTCCCACAGTCAATTCATGTACCACATTTACTCAAATCCAAGATGAGCTTTCCCCCCCTCCATTTCACATGTAGAAAAAACACCCTGATTTTGGATTAGAGAAATGGTTCTTAACCTTTTTTGTACAGGGACCCATTTGTAAACATCAGTGGACAGTCCCAAACCAGTGCCCCTCACTGCCACCCCCAGGCCCCAGCCCCCCAGGTGTGGGGCAAGGGGCAGGTGTGTGGGGCAAGGGATGGGTGTGTGTGGAGGAGGGGGGGCCAAGCAACACCAGACAAGCTGGAATTCTACCAGCCTGCAAGGGAAAAGCTACAGTTTTTCTCTTTTCATTTTTAAGTTTCTTGATCCATTTTTAAAAATCTGTCTGTAACCCTTTAATATATTCTTGCACCCCACTTTTGGGTCATGACCCATGGGTTGAGGAACACTGGGTTAGAGTATCAACCTAGTGCAGGGAGCAGCAGCTGCAGTCCAAGCCAGAGCTACAGGAGTGACCACATGGTGTGCAGGTCAGGGGGAGAACTGTGCAGTGGAAGGGCAGCTGCTACGACTTGGATCCGGCTTTGGCTCTGACCCTGACCCAGGCTTACAGATGCTGATGTTTGGCCAGGACTGGAGCCACCATGTGCTCTAGAACCACAGAAGGGAGGTAGGGCACCAACACTGGGGAGAGGAGTCAGGCTGTCTGCCTCCCTTCTGCAGTGGTTGGGGAAAGAATTTAAGATGACCCTCCAATCATTAAATTCTACACATGGAAAATTATAACATATTTATGTATGGAATTTAACAATTGGGTGGTCATTTTAAATTCCAGCTTGTCTTGGTTTCAGGATTCTCTGCTATTTACAAAAGGTTAACTGCTCAAAAAGCCTCACTGGAATAATCACGCTTTTGTGGAAAAATCTTGTTTCTGTTATTTACTAGCTTTACTTATTTGCATTGAAGATTTGGAGACTAACAGAAGATTATTAAATTTTGAAATAGCAGGTAGAAAAATACATGCAAATTTTACACAAAAAAGAAAAAGAGCCACACCACTTTGCCTGTTTATTTTACATGTTAATTTTATTAATTACAGTAAAAACTCTGTTATCTGGCATCCCCCGGGAATGAGGGATGCTAGATAACAAAATATGCCAGTTAATTGAGCGGCCCAAACAGGTGTCCTTGCCTGTTTGGGCTGCCGCCCTTCCCATGGGCCCTGCGGGCCCCGCGGGACAGGGAGACAGGCCCCATTCAGCCTGTTATGCCCCTGCACCACGGGGGTCTGGCAGCACAGGCTGGGGACTTGGAGAAACCGGAAGTGCCAAGGTAGGCACTTCCGGTTTCACTTTACCTTACAAGCCAGCATGCCAGTTAATAGAGCATGCCAGCTTGTAAGGTGCCAGTTAATGGAACTTTTACTGTATTCAATTAGTTTATGCAAAACTCTAGAACTCTTGGTTCAGAGATTATACCTTTTATTAATTAGTTAATCATTTATCTATTTTGGAATATTCCAACTACTATTCTATGGTATATTTTGTAAGATTAATGTCACATGAAGCAAGAACATTTTTTTGTGAACACTATGTTCAAAGATTAGTGACATGAGAATCACAGAGGTTCTACAGTACTCAACATCCACTATACATAGAAAGACAGGTTTATTGTAATGATTTGAGTATAGTAAATCTGCTTAAAATTTTACTGAATCACTTTCTATAAACATAAGACATGTAAAAAAAAAGTGACTAATTTTTTTCCATTAATGGAAAAAAAGAAACCAAACCCCTCACTCACTACAAAAAGGTAGCACGCACACACACAACACTGAATTTTCTAAATGAGTAAATCCGAGTCTTATATTTGAATAAATATCCCACATTATCTCAAATATAAGATCACTCAGAATACAAGACAACCCCCAGTAATTAGATTATCTATATGGGCAATTTATACATTTTGATTTAATTTTCCAGGTATAGAATGTAATTATTGGAGATGTGTCTTGCATTTGTCCCCCTCCCACTGCTGCACCAGGGAAAAAAATCTGAGGATTCAGGTAGCCCCTTTGCCTCCCCACCAACTTCTTCTCCCTTCACCCCCTTCCCCTGCTCCTGTCAGATCTTGCTTTCCCTGAGCACATGGAACAAAGAAGCAAATTTGAAGAAACTGACCTTGAAATAAAACACAGCTGTAGCGACTTGCATATAATACCCATAAACTTAGTTCATCCAGAATGGATTAATTTACCTTTTTCTGAAACTGCTGTAAGTTAGCACAGATACTCCATAAACACACTTTTAAGTAGCACTTTGGTACCTACCTATACATAGAAAAAAAACTATGCATGATGTTAGTCTAAAGCCAAAAGGCTCATGATTTACCACATAGTTCATTGGGTTGGGCCCCAGCCAGAATCAACAGCATTTTAAGACATGGTGACTCCACAGCTCAATATTTGTGCACATTCCGAATAAAAAGCATTTTAAGACATCCTCACAAAAGGATCCGTGTGCTGATTATCCCACCACTCATAACTAGAACTGGGTGTTTTCGTAAGTCCTGGAGTGCTCCAAAAATTTGGTCCAGTTCTACCTCACAGAAGGTGAGGCTACACAAGGATCATATATGCACAAGGTGAGAGAGGGGATGATAGGAATTTTGGGTGAACTGTTTGGGGCCCCATTTGGTGATGTTTGCCAGACATTTAAGGTTGGTGAAGAAACAGGAATAATTGGACATGGGAAAAAAGGTGCAGCTCAGCTGTGGTAGTCAAGAGGAAGTCAAAATGTAATGTATGCAATGTGGTGGCTCTCCATGACCTGAGAATCAGCGCTATCTTATTCAGATAGGTTGTACTAGCTTATGCTTGGGGTAGGTTCCCATCAGCCTGTTTGCCCCATATGGGCTGTATACTTTATAGGCATGCTCAGAGTTGGCTGCATTTAATCAGCTTCATAGTTGGTTTCCGTTACTGAGCACATGCTGTGATAGGCAATGTATTTAATGTGGTTTTCTTGTATGGGAATGTAAGATGAGGGACTTCCCCCCTTTGCTGACTGGGGGAAAATACCTTACCTTGCATTTAAGTAAATACGGTTAATACTTTGAACTGCTATTTATTCTCTCTCTATTCAAATTCTGCATTTGTTTCTAAGGGGTGAATAAATATTCATGGTGAAGGGGCTGCACCTAAACATATTGACCCTGTATTGCAGGTGTGAAAAAGCAAAAGCTGCCTCATCTCAATTTCTTGCATCAAAATAGGTCTCACCTTTTGCCCGTGAGATGATTTCTTCTTCACTTCAGAAAAAGACAGGGAGTTACTGGGAAGGTTGGGGAGATGAAGGCTCTGTCCCGAAGGAATTGATGTGCCATCTGACATTACCATGATCTGTCATAAAACAGAGGGAAAATAATACAGTATTTCCCCCTTCAATATTTAACTATGTTAGGAGTTAGCAATCACTTTAAGGGAGAACAGACAAATAAGCCTCCAATACAGCCAGCACCCTTGCTCTCCTCTCTCAGGGACTGCATTGATAAAATTACTGACTCATCCTCCATTCCAATGAGCAAAACAAATCTTGTTAATTTGTTTGTAAAGACAACTTAAACTGAAAAGAGCTGGCACATTCTATTCCAGTAGAGAAAGTGTTTTACAAAAAGACTTGTTGAAGTCTACAAATTTTACATATAGACTTCAGACCACTTCCAAGTAAGATTAAAATCCTCTTTGTACATAAAGTCCACATGCGCAAAGACATTCAATACTTTAGAACTTTATTGGCCAAAACTGTTACATTTACCCACTTCAGAGCAGGAAGCTGTCCCGTTAATTGCCATGCCAGTACCAAATATAAATGCAAATTAATTTTTGCTCAAGTAGAATAAAGCACTATGACAGAAGATATACTGAAGATGCAACAGAAAGTCTTGCAAACTGCTTCCAGTACTGGACTTAAGCAACATGGCTCCAACATCCTCTAAAAGAAGGAAACCATCTTACTAATGAGGCAGGTAAAATGCAAGGCCAGTATTTCAAGGTCCTCCAGGTATATGCACCAGATGGTCAAGCACCTGCATAAGCACCAGATGGTCAATGAGAGCAAATAGGTTTTTTAGCTATCGAATCCTTCTGGGTCTTCTAAAAACAAAACCTACCCTGTTTTTGGAGACCATTCTTGGCTTCTGAATGCACAGAGATTAGAGACCCTATAGGAGATGATTGCTTGGCCAAATAGGTTGCAAATTTATACTTCACCTTTGACCAACCAGCACAAGTCAAGGGGAACTCTGTTTACTGTTTTAAAATGCAAGCGGACTCTGGGGGGGAAACTAATCCACAGTACTATTAATAAGTATCTCTCTAAGCTATAAGAGCTCCTTCCACACGTTTGTTTAACTCCCTAAGATAGCTGGCAAAGATGAGTAGGTGATGTAGGACGTTAAACCCATGATAACAATTTCCCATTTTTGATAGTTTAAGTATCCACATACGTGGACATCCATTTACTATACCCACTCAATTACTGATTAACTTGCATTTTCTCATCTTATAGTAAATAGAGCGAGGTCTCAGAATCACACTAACAGGGCTCCCAATTTGAGCAATAGGCATTCAGGTTTAGCCAAAGGACATCTAATAAAGTAGGTCCCTGATGCATTGGTTCAATGTACTCAGGCTCCTAATATAGGGCAATTCCAGAAATCAGTGCTGTCACAAATGGGCTGTCCAGGAGACACAATGGAAAGGCAAGTAAGAACACTTCAACTTCACTAATTGGTTCGAGTTAAAGAATAAGCAACTTTCATCTGCCAGATATTCTTTAACCAAAGCACATCAAAGCTTAAGGCTGAACTCGGCACGATAAGCTGCAAGGAAGGAAGCTGTAACACATGCACAGCATGTCTAGTGTCAAGGGTAAGTCTCCAGTGGAGTTTACACAGATGCTTAAACTAGTACTGTTACAGAGTATATACACTTTGCCTCTACAGTTCAGGTTTTCTCCCCAGAAGCAGACTCTACATTACAATACTGTAGCAAATATCTATCTATTACTTATATAAAATATTTTTCGTATTAAAAACTGTTTGACCTGCAGGATAAGGAGGCAAGAGATCACCCTCCATTACTGAGTTTAATCACCTTTTCCTCCTTGACTGACTGCCCGCCTTCAGCAAGTCAGGGCACTGGGCCAGATGTGTGTTCAGAAGTGCCTGTTATTGCTTGAAAATTAAAAAGCAAGTGAAATACAGAGCCAAGGAACAATCTCATGGGAATGGAAATCACCAAATTTCTCCATGGTGGGTAAAATTCTGAGATTAAACCCCCCCCCCCCCCACCCCCCAAAATGGAGGCTGAGCCATTATTTAACCACCCCTTCTTGATGTTGATAATTTTATCAGTTTAAAAAATATTTTCAAGGTGGAGATAAAGAGAGATTGTTCCAGGCATCACTGTAGGATGTGTGCCGTTCGAGCCCAGGTGAGAAAGAAACCCACTGTGGAGGGTTTCACCATGACCGGATGGTGTTCGTAAGGGGCCCAGAGCACAGTAACATTCAGCACTTTGTGGAGAAAGTCATCTTTCACCTGCACAAGAGCTTCCCCTGGCCAAAAAGAGGTAGGGCCCCACTCCAAGGTGGCTTGAGTATTGTTTGCTTGGGGGGGGGGAGAGGAACAATCGCCTTCCCAGGCATGCTCTGAGCACTGGGAGGCCGCGGCAGCAGAGGCTGCTGCTTGCTGCTGCACACAGCCCACAGACAGGCTTCTGGCTGCCACACAGCTACCTGCCTACACAGCACCATCAGTTGTACTGTGGGGGGGGGGGAATTATTATTATTATTTCTTCCCCAAACCCTAACCCAGCTGATGGAGCAGGGAGTTGGCAGCTGATGGGTTTGTGCAGGCTGAGGTGGGGAACAAAAGCAACCCTCTCCTCTTCTCCCCCCTGCTCCTTACAGGCTTTGCCACTCCTTTTACTGCCATCTGGGTTATCAATGTCATTTATTTCTGCATTCCCCTCTCCCACTTCTCTCACAACCACTCAAATCAGTGGCTGCAGCAATGATCTTTTAATTGCTGGTGCCTGGGACAAAGCTCATGGTAGAGGTGGTATCTTTTATTAGACCAACTAGATTTTTGCAAAAAAATTTCTTTAAATCTTCGTTGCAAAAATCTAGTTGGTCTAATGAGGGATATCACCTCTACCATGGAGTCCTGATTCCTTTTGCCACTAGACCAATACAGCTACAACTGTATTAGTCAATATGCACCTGGCTGGGGTCATCTAACCCTATTGCTCTTTTCTACCCAGGGCATGTTACCTCCCAGCTCCATGTTCTTGGGGAACCCTGACACAGGACACAGACTGTCCAACTCACAAAGAATCCCCCCCCTCCCCTCCTCTACCTAAACAGAAACTGATTAAGATCCAGTGAGAGACGCACCTAAAACCCTCCAGATAAGGGTGACAAGAGTGAAACAACTGTCCTAGGTCTCATTTGCATCCGAGATGGAACCAGATTACCACTCATTTACATGAGAGATGGAGAACAGGAAGCCTGAAGCAGAGACTGCAGTGAATTCTGGGATCAGAAAAGCAGGGGAGCACTGCATGATGGGGAATCTGTGCTCCAAATGCTGATCAACCCACACACCCAGCTCAACATTTATCAGACCAGTTCTAATCTGGATTTACAAAGGACTCCCCCCCCCACACACACACCTCTAAGCGGAAGTAAAGTTTAATAGGCATATCGGGCCGTACATTCCCCAGTCCCACTATGGGAGGTCTATTTAAACTTAACTGGCTACAACTCGGTTGCCGGGTTAGGGAATGCTGAAGCAAGACACCAAGTCAGGGCATATGGCCAACATTTGAACAATGGTAAAGGGTTCATCACAGCATCCAGCCCATTGGAGCCCTGACCACAAGTGTTGTCATACTTTTCCCGGGACGACTGGTGGAAGTCCTCCCCTTCCAAAGGTTATGAACACTCCAATAATTGCCTTAAGTCTGTTAAAAGACTATAGTAAGATCTGGAAAAATCATGCTAAGCTGAGGCTTGTTCACAAGTAAAATCCAAAATCCTGATGCTGCAAGCTATCTATTGTTTCTGAAGAAACCATCAGTATATCTGCTATCCATAGGAATTTCAAGCTGGCTCCTAAGTATGTGTTTCCTGATTATCAATCAGTTTCCTGAGATGTTCCAACCAGATAAGCCCTTGTCAATAGAAAAGACAATTTGATTTACACTATTGAGAATGCTTGAAAGAAGCTGAACTGAGGGTATAAAAATCTGTAAAAGAAGCAGAAGTGTGTGTGCTGACACCACCCGCTTTCTTCTCGAGAGATTGAAGGAGGCAGATCGTCTCCCTTCAAGGATCGTGCTGAGAACTTCAAACGTGTCAGCTTTGCAACCTGAGTGCCTTGGACTGGTGAGATCCCAGCTCTCTCTCTCTTTTCTCTTCTCTCTCTAAGCATAGATTTCTGAACCTGAACTGTATTAGTTAAGCTTGAGCTATGTTTCCCCAAATACTTAGTGAAACCAGGGTAATACTGTAACTGTTTGTGTTTGTTTTCCTTTGCATGTCTATTACTACTATTGTCGTTATATATATACTTAGCAATAAATAACTTTTAGAGTCAAACTGGTGGTAACTGGGTATATTTTCCTTTCGGTACTTCTCCTTCCCCACTTGCTCTGCAGCAACGCTTCTTTTACCTAAGCTAAAGATCCCTGTGAAGCCCAAAAATACTGTGGGGTCTGCTCATCAAGAGGCTAAAAGATTGGGACATGCTGAGTTTGAAACACATAAGGGGATCAGCTTGTATAGGCTGATTGACCCAGTTTGGCTCAGATGTGTCCTAATGAACTGAATGCTGGCCCACGAGGGTGTCATCTGGACACCCAGCCAGATTCAGAGGTTTTCTGTTTAACTGTGTGCTTGTGTCTGACTGTAGTTTATTGTTGCTCTGGTGAACTGATTCTTGGCATATGAGGGTGTCAGCTTGTCCATGCTGATCAACCCAGCCAGGTCAGGCGTGTCACATTAATCTGGGTGCGTTTGTGTGTATGACTGATTTGGAGACTGGAGGAACCCAGCCCCATTGAAACTGGGGGTGAGGGCTTGCAGAAGGGAGAGATACAGCTCCGTATAGAAACACAAGTAGCACATTAATAGAATTACCAAGACCCTAGAAATGTATCTCTAATATATGAGCAGACCCCAAAATAATGGGCAAATGTGGCAACAGGCGGGGGTGGGGTCAGACTTGATGATGTACTGAGGTCTCTTACAACCCAAACATCCATGAACCAGAAGGTGGTCCCAAAAATCAGAACTTGACAGATAATTGGTAATTACAACCACCACTTTCTTAATG